TCTCATCTCATCTCATCTCATCTCATCTCATCTCATCCTCATTCCACCCCCCCCCACCCCACCCCCCCCCACCAGTTTGATAGCCAACGCAGCATACATGTGTGTGTGTGGGGGGGGTACCTCTTACCACCACATCCCTGTGAGGCAGGCTGGGCTGCAAAACAAGGACTGGCTCAACGCCGCCCATTCTGAGCTTCCAGGTTCGAGGGTGGGCCAGATCTGAGTCTCAGTCCTAATCAGGTTACGTTCATCCCCTTTCATCCCAATTCCCAGGGCAAATGTTGCCCCAAACCACATTTTGTGGAATACACCACAACAGGCTGGTTTTCTACACGTAGTAAATCATGGTTGTGAAACCGCCAGAGCTGCATTCACACACAGCCTGCTGACTTCCGTTGGGAATCATTTTTTCAAAAGTGAAAAAATGTTTGTCACAAAAAAATCCCACAAATCTGTACGAAATCAAATAAACCGCATTGCAGCTTCACGCGATGCATGAGCTTCCCCTTCACAGCCTTGCGCAGGGAGTCCCTCTTCCCAGCCCCAGGAAGAAGGCGGCCAGGGCAAACCGCTCGGCCTCGAAAACCGCGGGGCTGGTCCAGGCGGTCGCCAGGACTGCCTCGCAGGCACAGAAGTAAAAATAAAAATTGGGAACGGAAGGGGGAAACGTAAGCCAGCTTGGCGGATGGAGCTCTATCTCCAGCCAACACGGGTAGAGATTTGGCAAACGATCCACGCAGAATTGATCACCGTAAGGAATGAAAAGTCTCCTTTTTTAACGGACTGGACTGGCAAAAGTCCTACCAAGGAGAAATTCTTTATAGAATTACCACCGAGTGCTCACGGTCCACATTTTCCCGCTCGACCCGCTGCTGCTGCTGCTGTTTCCTTTTGAGCAGCAGTGAAGCTGGGTGACTTTAGTTCCGATCCCTCACTGAAACGAACAGAACAAGGGCATCCATGAGGACGGGGGGGGGTGTCAAAAAAGTCAATATGGTGGCCACGACTACACAATCGAAGCCCTACCCTTTGGTACGTGTGTCACTTTGATCATGCAGTTGCAGCCACCATCTTGATTTTGACACTCCCCCCACATCTCTGCAGCCCCCCCAAACTGAACCAGGCCTCAAAGTCCCCCTCTTTCTAATTGGCCCAGTGGAAAGGCGCTGGCTCTCCGTTCTGGGGCTGTTGGAGAAAGGGAGAAGCCATCACCCGCGTCTGCGTGAAGATGCTGAGCGCCCAGATCAGTTCATCCTATTCTTCTCCTGCAGCACTTTTACCTGTTTCAGGGTCACGTCCCTCAATTTGATCTTGGAGGGAAACTTAGCCTGTGCCCCCTTTTCCACTTGGGGCTGAGTCTCTGCCCTTCCTGAGCCCCAAAGAGAGCAGATAGGGTTAACTCTGGACCCACTGAGGTCCATTTTATGCCCGGGATCAGAGAACATTCGGGCTCCTAAAATTGAGAAACAGCAGCCCAATTTTAGGAGGGTTGCTTAAGGTTTTAAGGCACCAATTTTGCTCCTTATCCCTTATGGCTCCACCCTCCCTTCCAGAAGTACTAGATCAGTGTTTCTCAATCTCAGCAACCTGAAGATGTACGGACTTCAACTGGGGAAGCAGGGCTGGGGACTTCTAGGAGTTCAGTGTATGGACAGACATCTTCAAGTTGCCGAGATTGAGAAACACTGCGTTAGATTAAAATATCCATCACCCTCAGCCAATAGGAGCATCCTCAAGTTTCTAGCCCTCATGATTATAAACTGGGGGCGTAATGGATCGTGCCTGACGAAATCTGACAGAGACATAGGAACAGGTTCAGTGCCATTGTCTGAAGGGGAAATTGCTAAAAACAGCAAGACCTCATGGGAAATTACACACATTTAGAGAAAACAGGAATTACTCAGTCCAGAAACAGCAAAAGATGTAAAGAAAGACAGATAGAAGTTCTCTAACTGCCCGGTTCCCAAAGAGCAGGCTAGAACAATTAGGAAGCATGCAAACGCATCTCCTCTCCTGCATCCAAGGTGCTAGATTTGCTCAAATGGTTTTAAGGATACTATTCTTAATCAAGGGTGTTCACAGAGTGTCAAAAAAGTCAAGATGGCAGCCATCAGTCTGCAATCCCCGCCCCCCGCAACACCTGATCACACCTGAGGTGTCTTAGGGACTTGTAGATCCCCAGGAAGAAGCCCTTAGGGCTACACTAGGCGTAATTGCCTTCTCTGGCTAAAAAGGAGCCAAGGTGATGCTTCTTTCTAGATTTAGAGCAGGGTTCCTCAACCTTGGCAACTTTAAGACGGGTGGACC